AAAGGAACCCCTGCTGCCCCGTGCTCACCCCCAGCCATAAAGGGAGCCTGATCAAATGGTGGCTTTGTTGCCTAATGGCTACTTAGTTGTAAATAGGAGTCTTATGGTGATAGTCCATGAGCTAGGAAGCATTTAATGAAAACCTCACTGGAACCAGCTGCATGGAAGGTCAGAAGGACACAGAAGAAAGCAAGGAAGGTACAAGGCTTAATGATAAGAGTTAATTTGATGGAAGCCAAGGCTTGTGCACAATCATAAACTTATCACAGTTTATGTGCACCTGATAATAAGATAGACAAGTGAATTTTACTAGCCAATCAAATAAGGCATAAAGGACCAGTTACACTTTTAAAGCTTCCAAGCAATTGTGGTGGGTTTTTTTGTGTGGTTTGGTTTTTTTTTTCCCCCTTCTCCCCCCCATTCCTGGCTTAAACTGCCAGTTAAACACTGTTGAAAACTGGGTCAGAGCACGGCCTGGCTCATAGCAGGAAGTCACCACCCCCTCAGTCACCACCCCCAGGTTTAGTGTTGAATTTCCAAAGTGGAAAAAATCATTTCACTGATAACTTCACCTATTGGAAAATTGAAGTAGCACAGTGAAGGAAGTCACGCCTTTTATCTTCCAGATTCACTCTTGCAGCAGATGTTCGTAGTTCGGTTTTTAGGATCTATGGCTGTTCAGTCAGATGCCACAAGTGAGGTGATTTATGAAGCTATGAGACAAGTGTTGGCTGCTCGCGCCATTCACAACATATTCCGTATGACTGAGTCCCATCTCATGGTCACCAGCAAGAACCTGAGGTACTGTAAAACCTTCAACTTGTCAACATTCTGTTCTCTTCATACAACTTGTGATGAGTAAAGTTTTTTCAGTTTTGTTTTTCCAAGAAATACACCCTTTGAGGGAGCAAGATCCCAGGATTCACTTTACTTAGTAAAAATGTCTCTTTTCTTACTCTGTAGTACCTAGAAATCCTCCTCCTAAGTTGTAAGAACATCCTACCACAATTTAGGAGATGCAGTGGGGCTATAAAGCCCTGCAAAGACACTGAAAGAGATGCAAAAAAAATGCATTGGAAGATTCCTTACATGTAGTAACAGCGAGACAGCCATCGCTGTCCTGTTGTCAGTATTGGCACTGTACAATATGTTGATACGAGACGTTCACTTTAGCTGGACTTTATGTCCATATGCGTATTAGTGTATTAGCCCATGCACTCAGGATGCTTATCAAATTAGTGATTCAGAAAGATACTAGGACCTACACGTGTCAAGCAGCTGAGAGTCAGGGTCTAGAGTTGAACTGCCATCGACCGACCTGAAATCGCAAATAAAGCATTTGATTCTGTGCATGTGTTTCCTCATCTGTAAAACTGCTGTAGTGATTGCCTTACTATTATAAAGCTCCTTGAAATTACTAGGAATCACTCTAAAATAATGTACTTTTTTTTTCCCCCCCCTACACATAATTGCAGGTTAATAGATCCTCAAACCCAAGTTACACGAACAAGCGTAAGTAACTTTTGTTTTGAATCTGGCTTTTGACCACAGCATTGAATACTCAGTCACATGAACTTGAACTCTTGACCAAGCTAACCATATGCTGGTTAAAAACAATAAATTCTTTATTATACTTATCCAGTTTGAACTCGCCACTGTGACACAGTTTGCTGCTCATCAGGATAACAGGCGACTGATTGGCTTTGTGGTCCATCTCAGCGAGACTCTGGGAGAAGAATCCATGAGTGCATATATTTTTGAGAGCAACACAGAAGGGGAAAAGGTTTGCATAACGTTTACTAAAATACTTTATTTAGAAAACAGGTCTTAGGCTTCTCGGCTTACGCATCTGGGAAACAGTGCTTATAGAAGCAAGAGCAGCTCACTTTCTGGCCAAGAAAACATGCCTTAACATGCAAGCCTTTGATGGCTTCTGTCTAAAAAGGACCAAATTTATAGATAATGCAGCAGCATGTACAAGGAGGAGGAAAGGATGTGATTGCTAATATCAACATTAAGAGAGAGGGGAGAGTGTCCGTGTCTAGCACCAGCACTAACAAAAATGAATGCCAGCTATGTTGAGACGTACATCTGTAAAGCTTTCACAGATGAGACAGCCATGCTGTGTTAACACCCCTGGGGGCTTGCTGCATGTGATAATAACAGACTGTTAGAAATAAGGAATGTGCTGGAGAATTTTTGGCTTAAAAAACAGTAACACTCTTGCATGCACTGGAAAAGATCCCCTAGGTTTGGAAATAAAGTTTGGTGAATAAAACTGAGTTCAGTACAAAGACTTACCAGCCTAAGTGAGTTTTGAAGCCGAATCCAAGATAGTTTTATTTTTATGTAGTTAGCATGCTGAATTGGTATTACACTTCTGCTTTTAGACCTGTATTTAAGACTAAGTTTGCATTGACACATCTGTGTTGTAGTCCCAATTAAGGAACAAAAAAACCGAAACTGAACTTTACATACACTTCTTTTTTTTTAGATTTGTTATGCCATTAGCTTGGGAAAAGAGATCATTGAGGCACAGAAGGTAAGTTTGTTTCATTCCCCGTGTCTGTGTTGTGATACATCATATTCTGGTTTTGGTTGCACTGTCCAGGTACGTCTGGTATGCAAAGAAAAAAGAACTGCCGCTCTCCCTAATGCCAAAGTTTCACAGACATCATTTAACACAGCCCTGAGGTAGCTCATACAAAAATAAATTCAGTTTGACTTTGCAGTAGCTTGATTTAAGATAAAATTTGCCACCCTAAATCAGATTCAGAACTATACAAATCTAGTTGTTCATGTTTGAAAGGAAGCTGTGAGCAAAGCTTTCAAAAAAACCCAAACAAACTACTTGGGATGAAGTGTAAATCACACGCGTTGCTGTTTCACTTTTAGAAACTCTTATTCCTTCCTCCCTTAGGGAGGAAAACCACAGTGTTTATCTACTTATAACCAATGGCAAAGTTACCTGGCCCCTTGCAGATAAATTTATCTATATAAAGATGTGACACTCATACATTAATATTTGCTGTATATTTTTGCTGCTAAGATTTCAGAACAAGTTGGGGGAATGAGCTTTTAGTCACAGGCATAGCAAATAAATAACTTACTTAGACAGTTATTTTTCTCCTTGTTTTTCAGTAATTACATCGATGCAAAGCTTTCAAAAAACAAACAAACAAACAAACTACTTGGGATGAAGTGTAAATCACACGCATTGCTGTTTCACTTTTAGAAGCAAAATAAAGGCTCAAAATGAATGACTTTTTTTTTTTCTGATATATCCAGAGGGTGGCTTTCCTGAACCAAAAGGGATTATTTATGTTTCAAACCTTTAGACTAAAAGTTGTCATAAAAAAAAAAAAAAAACCTCGCAAAACTTTAACAAGAAGTATTGGTTAAAGCGTGTGCTCCTCAAAGATTGCTGCAGCCTGCTCAACTTTTTTTTTTTTTTTTTTCTTTCCTCCCCTTCAGGACCCAGAAGCGCTAGCTCAGCTAATGAAGTCTGTGCCATTAACAAATGATGGGAAGTTCATGCTTCTGAACGATCAGTCAGAAGAGGATGGAACCATACATGAAGAAGGGGAGGAGTCAGAAGCATAAAAACCTCCCGTTTCCTGTAGCCTGTGTGGGAGCAGGAAAAGCCGGGAGTTGTTTTGCAAGAATCTCTGGTTTTCAGTCATCTGCAGACACACGAGGCCAGCTTCTGCCTTCCCGCCAGGGAGAGCACGGCCTCTTTGCCGTGGAGTTTCCTCTGGATTTACAATGGAACAACAGCAGGACTGGGCCTCTGAGGCTTTTTGCGTTTGTGAATGTGTAGTGTCTGGGAAGCTGACAATCTTCAGGAATGTTTCAGCCTTAGCCCCTTGCTGCTGGTAGGTGGGACAGCACGGCTGCCAGCCACAAAGGGTTAATGTCATTTCTTCAGATTTACAGGGTGAGCAGCCTACAGTTCCACTTGAAAGGAGTGCAAGTGGTAAGCTGTCAGCTCCTTTAACAAATACCAGGCCTCAAACTTCCTACCATAGTCAGTTTTCATAGTTTGCATGATTATGTGCATCTGAATGAAGGTTAAAAATGCACTATTTACTTTATTTTCAGATGAAGTTATTTTTAGTCTAGTCTAAGTGTAATAAGATTTATCTTTTGTGCTAGCCTATTTACAAAACGATTTGTTAAACACTAAATTTTTCCTATTAATATAATCTATTTTTATATTGCATCTAGAATAAGCTTACAAAACAAATCTAAGTGCCTACTCTTACCTTCATGGGGACCGCACTTACACATTCTGTAATTAAATAATGGACGTAATGTACCTCCTTGATTTATTATTCTAAATACCACTGACATGCAAACATCGGAAGTAGTCAATGAATGTGGCATGTTGGTTGTGTGCGGTTTTTCTATGGTTAGGTTACTTAAAAGTTAAGTTGCCAGAGATGATAATTATAGGACAAATAAGTACTTTTATAATAAGAATTCTTTGTATTTTTAACATTACAGTGACTTGCAACAGCTATGTCTACCAGCAATCTTTGGTTTTAAAAAACTGAGCAATAAAATGCTAGATTTTAACTCTACAATGTATTGACTAGTCTCATAGTACATTCCTGAAATTAGGCACTAGATATATTTGGTTAATAAGTTTAGATTTTTTCCCTTCTAGTTTAATCTGAAAACATGAGAAACTGTAATTTGCGAGAACAAACAAAAAATAAACAAGATAAACAGTAGATGGGGGGGGGGGGGGGTAATCTGTGGAAAAGTTTGTATTAATACAAAATGGCTGAAATTCCTGGAATTTAACTCTTCTCAAACACTTACTAGAAACCTAGATTTTCTGTAAGCAGAATCTGTGCTACAGCAGCTGAAAGATCCCAGTTGGCAAGTATTGGAAATAGAATAAATTCAATTTAGCTGGTTGTTGAATGTTTAAAAGAACCATGGAAGAGAACTGTTAGTAACTGACACAAACACTTCTTCATAAATAAAAGTTGAAGCTGTCTTATTAAAAAAGTTAAAACCGACTGAGCTGATGTTACTGAAGACACTAAGAATGAGGTTCTCAAAATGACATTTATTAACACAGTTTTATGTACATAAATGTTCTCTACCCACAAACCAAAGAGACTGAGGTAACAAAACACTCTTTTGTACACTGAGTTAGGAAACATGAAGTATTACATTTGGTCCTTTGTACCTGAGAAGCTGAAAACAGCTGTTGTTGATGGACATCAGATGAAAACTCAAATTTACTTCTGATTACAGACCACATTAGGACCCTGCAGCGGCAGCAGCAGTTCAGGTCCTAGTGAAGCCAACAGAGCTGGGTGCTGCTGGGGCCGTCGCTTACCCCCAGCCAACGCAAACCCCTTTTGACCTGGGGGCTGAGAGCGAGGGAGGTGGCAGCCGCGCTCTGCTCCCCCGCGCAGGACGCTGTGGGGAGGCAGGGCAAGGCGGCCCCGTGGCGGCTGGCACAAAAGGGCAAGAGCACCCCATCAGAAGCAGGCTGCAAGGCCTCTGGCAGAGCGGCTGCTACCGCGTCTACATGTAGCGGCCTTGTCACAAGGCTGAACACGAGGGCAGCGGTGGCACCTGCCTTCTCAAGGAGAGAGCCTGGCCTTCAGCCTGTTCTGCCCCTGACGTGAAGGAAAAAAACCTAGAGATCATTTTGTGTCTCTGCAGCAAACTCAGCCTCCTCACTTTCCTTTTATCACCTCTGGGAATTCTGAGTGAGCACGCTCGGTTTAGTTTGGGGGATTTTTTGTTTTGGCTCCATCGTCTCGCCTCCAGACAACCAGTTAGGGTCCATTTTGTTCCTATAATCGGAACAGGAGGGCAAAAGCAATGAAAACGGTAGTAGCACCACAGCAAGAATCCTGCACCCCTTTCAGACCCTTGCAGGGGAAAAAAGGATTTAACGTGACTGTCACTGACACAGAGGAGCGCGACATCCAAACCCAGGACCCACCTTGTATTTCAGATGAGGAAAGCTTTCTGCATGTATATGCTGCTACGTGACAAAAAGAAAGAAGGAAATAGAAACTACAATCCTGTATTAGCAAGAATAGCTCTATTATCACTGTACATATTTGTGTGTATGTATATATTTTTGCCACATATAGTATACATTCAGGTCTCCCAGATTAAACAGGGTTCTATAAAAATAGGCGTATGTCTTTGCTGTAGAATTTCGATCACCAGAACCACATGAATGTTAAACACCATACATAAATGGAACTGTGCGTTTCCTTAATGTTCAACTGCAAAGTATTACCTATCCAAGATAGTGTCTTTCCAAAACAATGGGAGAAGGGAAAATACAAGTGCAGATTTTGTTAGAGCGCGGGTAATGTCTTGACTGTACGTAGCTACCTAGCCGCTCTGTCCTGGGGGAAACGAACACCACCGATAGGTGATTCTGCAGTTGCTGTGGGAGAAGGAAAGGCAGTGCTTGGCCACTCCAAGCCAAGAACTTCCATGACTTCAGATGAGATAGGAATATGGAAATAGGTACACTGCAATTGCAACAGTATGGAAATTAGCAGCAGCAGCAAGAATGCTGGTCTTGGCAGCGCTACTGAGTGTTCAGTGCGGGCACAGTTTGGTCAAAAAAGAAAGTGTATGCTAATTACAAAAAAAAACAACAACCAAAACAAAACACAAAAAAACCCCCAAAACCACCCTGTATCAAAATAAAAAAGCAAAAGCAGAAATCAAGTAATGCAGCATTCTTTAGGGCAGTCTCTGCAGTTATAATGAATTAAAAATAAAAACTTCCATGAACCCAGCTGATTTAAACAGTCCACGGAGCTTCTGTGTCCTGTTTTCAGAACCAACGAAAGGACTTTCCTATCAGCGTGGTCTTTCCAGTTGCAACAAAATATTTGTCCTAGCTTTCTGAATGTTGAAGTGACTGGCAGGAAAGGGCAAATCACAAGTACGTCAGGAATTGTCTTAACCAGTGACGTGAGGGTGGGTGGAACAATTTGAACCATTAAAACATTACCTTTTTTGTAATTAGAAGATATGAAAGAAGCGGGCAAGTATGGTCTAAAAATACAGCTAAGAGTGCCAAAAAAAACCCCCAAAAAGTAATTCTCAATTGGACTGACTAGAGTAGTTTATTCTAATTAGTAAGACCTAGAATGTTTTATGTTCTGGGAGATTAAAACACAACTATATCTTTTAATGAAAGCAGTGTTTACTTTTAAGCTAAGTCTAGCTACTTACTTAAGTTCGGAATCTGAGTAACACTTGCACAGTCTAGAACCTCTACTCGCAGGCATTAACAGATGTTGTATTTATACAGAGTTCTCACAGTGTTCAGCAGCTTCTGAAGCCTGCAGTGCAATTCTTGTTAATAATCAGGCATGTAAGAGTGTATGAACAACACAGACGGTACAACAGACCTACAAAGGCTAGGAAGTACAGAACTGAGGCTGAAACTTGCAATTAGGCACAACATATTCATGAAGTGTAAGATCACTTAATAGTTACAGACACCCACCACACAGTGTCTGGTCATAAAAGGAAGAGCTGATTGTGGTTCTGTCTTGGCTCTGGATTTCCTTACTTCTGTAGATGCAAATCAGACCTTCGGTGCGAAATGAGAAGTAATTTATTATATTAACTTTTCTCGTTTTCCCATTCTCTGATATGGGGGAAAAAACAGCAGGGGAAAATAAATGCCTGACAGGATCTTAAGTTCCCACAGTGCAAATACGATCTATAGTAATAGTAAGGGTTTGTGGAATAAAACATTAATAAGGATTTCCATTTTGTGCAATAGCTTTAACATACGTTCACAACATACACTGTTACACCTACAGTGTAATCTGTGGCTGCATTAAATACAACAGGACTGCATAAGAACATGTCTGAATTATTTTTTGGACAACAGATATGCACAATATCTTGATTCAATTTTTTTTTCTGGTTGAAGAGACGCACCAGTTCAAATCTTAGACCAACGGCCTATGAGTCAGTTGTTTTTTTTTTTTTTAAATGCTATGTTAGAGATGCAAGAATGCATCTAAAAATTAGTAAGATTTTTTTTTTTATCTGCACATCTGTACTTTAAAATAACTACCTCCAAGGTCAACATTTTACATAATTATTTTCAATCTAAAGAAAGTGCTGTAAATAATATAAACTCCTGAAAAATAGGAGTTTCTATGGGAAATATAAACAAGCACAGACCTAGCCTCACTGAATGCTAGTATACTACTGTCCATTTTCTCTTGGGTTTAACAGAGCAAATAAATCAAATCTAGAGCTTTTACCCCTACAGAGCGTTAGTGATAATGACACGAACACGGATTATTTGAGTAAGTAATCATCACCCATACCAGCCATATCATTTCACAACAGGGTCTGCAGGCGTAGAGTTGGTAAGATCTCCGTTGCTTGCTTTAACAGATTCTTCTACAAAAATAAAAAATAAAGACATGGATCATGTTTAACATTTTCAAGGCAGTAAAACCAAAGTCTTAGCATATATATTATGCTGATGTCATAATACACTTGATACAGTATACCGTGATTAGCATATGCAAACTGACCTTGCAGCACAACAAAGGGTCCTGGCCCTATAAAGAAATCTGTATTTGGGGTTATAGGTTTCTGGCATCAGCAGAACTTGCGTAAAGATTACATATACACACTCACGCATTTTGCAGAGTCCAAGTCCAAATATTACAGTAGAAGGCAAAGATACCACCATGTTCAAAGCTTTTCACCCTGGTATGCATTTCAAGCTTTTCTCACCACAAAACACATTTTTCAGGGGACAGCGTGAATTTTTAATCTAAAATATAATTAACTGATGTTCTACAGAATGCTCTCCTAAAGAAGCCAAGGTAATATGTCTGTTCTTACTCACCACAATGCTTGTAGTTGGTTTTTTGTTTGGTTGGTTGGTTTGGTTTTTTGTTTTTGTTTTGGGGGGTTTTTTTGAGTTGAACAATTATTTGAGCAACTTCACTGAATATGATCAAATAGAAATTCATGCTAAAAGACTTCTTTCTTTGTGAACTGTTTTCCTAGTGCAGAAGAAAAACGATCTTTGGCTCCATCTCACAGGTCACTTGTGCCTTTGTCAGAACTACAGTGGAAAATTATTTACCAATTCCATTTTTAATATACTGCTACCTGAGCTCCTAAGTAACTTCTGACTGAATTGCACTTCTATATCTTAACCCTTGGGAGCATTCTTATTTCTTTGAAAAGAATTTTCCCATACCCAAGAGAATCCTCCAGAATTCATGAGGGAGAATATATAAGCCCACATATAAAACACAAAATATCCATGTTACCTAGTCAAGACACCATACCACAAACTAAGATCTTACCCTTTGAATATAATTCAATGGTAGACCAAAACATATCATAAACATCTGAAAGTCACGTATATTATCTGCATCATCTGCCTACGTAAGTTGAAGAGCAGCTGGGAAACAACAGATGAAAAACACCAGTTTATTTCACACCAGCTAAGGTTGTGCAGAAAAGGCTGTTACTGTCAAAATTCGTAATTGAGAGGGTATGATGCTGAACGTACTGAATTTAGTATTACTGCAAGTATGCAATTCTCCCTGTCCCAGATTTTTTTGGGTTGGTTGGTTTTTTTTGTGGTGGTGGTCTTTTTTGGTCGTTCCCCCTCCCATCCCCTGAGAAGCCCTGCTTGAAATACACTCATTCCAAAGAAGGCCTCTGTTAGCTGTTCTTGACTCCTCCATCACCCTTGACCCCATAAAACTCCTTCTGGAATACTGGAGCAACCCACTAGCAAGAAAGCAGCTATGGAAAAAAGAAAAATGCGCTT